TTTGAAAATCAGATCACCTTTCCCTCAACGATTATTATCATTGATATTCCGAGTTCCAGAGAAATTAAACCTAAAGGAAACCTAGTGGTGGCTGAGAGTCACCTCTCGAGTGGAAAGGGTTAAACGAAGGTATCTCTAATTTCATCTTCTTGTATCCTCTGAACCAGAGCTTCTTAAACTACGTATCGCGAGATTTTAACGTAAAATATTTGATATTCTCTTTTATCTGTGCTACCGTCAAAAATGCAGCTTCGACAAAAAATAGGACATACCATTTTTCTAACTATAATAAATACAATTCTGCAACTTTTCGTGCAGTTTTTAATATCATATTTCTGCACGTTTTCAAACAAATTCTAAAACTATATTTTTTCCATATTGTATGTTACTTAATCAATAAATCATCTCAAAATATTTACACGTCTTTGTTGCAAAAAGAACGAAATGGGGTCGAGAATGGTAAAACGTTTAAGAAGCCCCGCTCTAAACGATACGATCATCGTTGATATTTCACGAATGTTTCCATTCGTGCACGTCCGGAAAAAAGAAATACCGAACGGGCAAGAAAATCGTTAATGCGATCGATAATTCTTGGAAGTTCGAGATTGTAGCAAATAGCTTAATTAGCGCGCATCGGAGTAACGGTAGCGGCGATTAATTGAAGACGACGATACCAGAAATTGCTTGTTTTGCTGGAATAAAAGGAAATACCGACTCCATATTTTGCCGGCTTTTTCAGATTCTATTAATTACGAACGCTCCAGGATACATAGATTCGGATAAGCGGAATCGCAGATGAAACGTTTACCAAGAACATCGCGGGAATCACGTGAAACGAGTACGAATAGTTATTTGCGCGATAACTTGTTAGTATCGTTAACGTTGTCGTTGCTTACCTGAGGGCAAAATCTAATCACATTCGGCAGCAGGTCCGATAACGTATCGGCATTGCATTTCAATATCTCGCACGGATTTAATTCTTTCCCGATCGTTCGATCCCCAACGATCATTACTATTTTCGCCCCTTCCAACGTCTGCTTCAAGCACGACTCGGAGGGATTGCACGTGCTGACCTTGCATCCTGTATCAATGTAATTTAAATCCAACGCGAGGCCATAGGTGCACTCGTTATCGTAGATTGCCAATTCGTCGATCAACGGTGATTGTTTCAGGAATAACGAAAGGCAACTTCCTGTGATGCAGCAACGTGATAAATATAGAATTTTATAAATATAGAAATTTCTTATTAGTTATACGAAATGTTCCTGTAGTAACATAATCGATATAGTACGAGGAAATTTAACTAAAATTATTTATCTATCGATTTTGTGAAAAACAACTTTCTATGGTATAGCAGTACAATGGATATAGAACAGAAAATTTGAATCAAATTTAGTAGAAATTGTTTGCTAGTTTTAAAAAAAGGAATTTTCTTGTGTTATGGTGTTATAATAAATACAGAGTAAAAAAATTTAATCAAGTTTAACTGTAATTATTATTTCATTTTAGGAAAGACAACTTTTTGTGATACAGTCAATGCAATAAAAATAGAACAGAAAATTTAACCAAATTCAACCTAAATTGTCTACCAGTTTTACAAAGAGCAATTTCTTATATGCAAATATTACAATAAATACAGAATAGAAAATTTAATCAAGTTTAACTATAATTATTATTCCATTTTAAGAAAGACAACTTTCTGTGGTACAATAATACAATAAAAATAGAACAGAAAATTTAACCTAAATTGTCTACCAGTTTCAAAAAGAACAACTTCCTATAGTACGACGTTACAGAATAGAAAATTTACCAAAAATTGTTTACCAGTTTTACTCGCGGCTCCAAGAACGGCTACTTTCATGGATTTCGAAGAGAAATAATTACAATGCGTAGGAAAGCACATTCCTAAAATGAACTGTTTCCTCCTTGGAAATGGAAACGCGTCCTGGCAGATCGAAGAACGATAAAATCGTCCTTGGAGAATACGCGAGATGAAATTTGAAGACGCACGAATTACAAACGGGAACATGTCGCGTGTTTTTCTTCCCAAAGTTACTTTAAATATTTTTCAAAGACACTAAACATTTTTCACCGATAGAATACTATTGATTTGTGTACAAATAGACGCGTGCTGACGCGTCGAACAAATGATTGTAACTCGCTGTACACGATCCTCCGTTCTTATGTTACGTTTCAGAAACGATGCAAAGCCCGACGAAAAATCAAATAGTAACCGAACGACATTCCGGGAACAAGCGTCGAGAGGATGATGAAAACCGTTTGAACGTGATCGAAATACGTTGTGCGAAGTAAACATCGAGCAACAAAGGTTTCTTTATACGAATTTATTAAAATAAGAAATCGCGAGGTAAACAAAAGCGGACAATAAACATGAATTGTCATAATTCATAATTACGTTTAATCGAATTTGATATCTTTTTCTTAAAGTAGAATCGTAATTGGAAGATGTTATAAATGTCGAGACTGTAATATAACAAAGAGAAGTACGTAATAGTTGAAGATAATAAATGAGTATATAACATTGAATTCTAATCTTGCACTTGAATAAACTCATGCGTTTCTCCGAAAGCGTTCATTGTTCCGTTTTACAAGAACATGGATCGTTATAATAACACATAAGACACGGGACGTAGTAATCATCAGGGAGTCCGCAAGCAACGAAACGGTCCCGTTCGTCCGGAATGCCATTTTCAGTTAGCGTCGAATCAAGATCCAAATCCTTTCCTTCGAACTTCCACGTATAAGACGTTCCATTTGCATTGTAAAGAAGGACGCGCTCTTGAATACGCCTGATGGAATCTTCCTCGCAAACCTTTATTAAAGTACATCAACAAAAAGTTAATCTCAAAACTTTGTATAATTAAACGTATAATTAAGATTGGTCGCGTAGGTAAAGCGATCGACTGTGGATCCGAGGATCGTGGGTTCGAATCTCCGCGCCCTCAGTTGTTATTTTTCGTTTGTACTCCTAGGTTATGTTGTTCACAAATTCCGAGGACGAGTCAAATCGAATAACCGAAATCTAATTAAGATAAAAACTCTACCATTACAACAACTTGTATTCCAGTAAGGACGTTTAAAATTCTACATGGCCTTGGGTTTCTGGTCAAGTGTCCCTTCCGATAAGTTCCATCGAGCCACCAAGGACATCTGTCGAGTGGTCGCCATGCAGACGTAGGTACCACGTGAGGATTGACATCCGGTATCGGTCCATGGGGACAATAAGGCACCAAGACTCCGGTAACGGGATGAACGTGATATCTGATATCGTTTGTCTCGTGATCGAACCAGTGACTTATATCTTTACCCGCGTGAGCCAATATTGGCTTGATTTCTCTGGTACCAGACCAAACTTTGCAGAGATCGGTTAAATCGTATACGCCATCGTTAAACGAGACCCAACAATCGTCTGGTGTATCATGTATAGCAACCTCTGTAGGTAGAAAAAACGTATCGCTACAAAGGTTGTTTATGGTGTTCGTAGGAATTTTGTAATTGTTCGTTTTCTCATAGGAGGGAAACCGAGCCACGGATGACATTTTATGGTATCTTTAAATTTTCTTTTTCTTTTATTTTGAAATTCGCATCGAACGATTTTCATTTGTATTCGCTATTCGATAGTGTATGAATGTTACGCAGGACATTTATGATTATATTTTATTATACTCATAATTTTATTATAAATAATACTAATACTTGCTTCATTAGCTTTATTTACAACGTATGATTATTTTGACATGATGTATATGCTAATCTACCATATTTCTTAACGTTTTTATATCTAATACACACAAAATATACATGAATATGCGACATTAATACTAGTGGCACCATCGGCGGGAAAACGCTCAAGTTTGTAGTGAAAATAGTTCCCACTACTGCCACTAGATGTCGCCCCGTAAAAGTCGATAATTATTGCTGCATTAAATAAATATTCTAACCGTGATAAAGCAACGAATCTTATTAATTACGCATCGATGAAAATTAAAGAAAAATTGATTAAGAGTATCGGTGGCGCCATCTTAAAAAAAAAGTGGGAACTATTTTCGTGACAAACTTGGGCGTCCTACCACCGATGGCGCCACTAGCGCTCAAAAACGTATATATATATATATATATTTTTTTTATATTAGATATAAGATGCTAAAGGATATGATTAACATAAGACTCATGTATGAATTAGTGTATACACCGTACCAAAACAATAACGCACTGTAAATAAAGTAAAGCAAGCAAGTAGTAATATATTGAGTGACTAGCTGCTACCAGGGAGCGGTCGCTATCTCAGTCGCTATGTTTGGCAGCGAAAAATTCATAAGCTCATCCGCTCAGAAAGCGGCTTAGTGAGCGGTGGTCTTTTTGGATGTACCCATTGATTTATGGTTGACGTTACTTTTTCTGTATCCGACATCAACAAAAAATCCGAAACAGTATGCAAGGTCTTGCGATGTCGTGTTCTAATAATCTAGATACAGAAACTTCTTCTAAGGTCTTAAAACTATTCATTTATAAGATACCATATTAATATAAGTTTCCTGTAAAAACATATATTCAGTCTGACCTATTTAGTGTCATTGACTTCGATACGGGTAAACGGAAACATTTACCCAAAGTTCGATCGCATGTTACAAACTCTAAATACTTCGAGATTACTATATTTTTATGTAACTATACTGTAGAAATATATAAAGAACAATAAAAAAAGCTGCTCAATAAATGCCAGATTTTGCTAGCTTCATGTTGTTTCCATTCCATAAAAGACCTAGATAGGTTATAGGAATGTTTGGTTATTAAAGAAACGATATTTGTAGAACAAATTTTTAATGGCGATATATTAATTTCGTATACAATAGTAATGCGAATGCAATCTACGTAACAACATTTTTATGAAATTAATGCGGTCAATGCGAGAAATAATATATTTCGGTAGGAATTTTCACGTTGTAATGTTGGATTTCCATGTTACTTCCAAGCTGAAGACAGTCGCTGCATTGTGACTATTGCAGGCGATTGAATGGCTGCCTCGTCTAGAGAGTGCACATTCTGTTTTGCTGTAATTAATTTTGCGTTAGTTGGTGATTTACGCGTGAAATATTCTCTGCCTCGTATAATTTGGTAAGTCTTTCGATACATTTTCGTTAGCTTTAGAAAGATGATTCGTACAGCGGGTGTATTATTGTAATATCTTCGTTTCTAAGAAACGTGCGCATAAAATTTACGGCCGGTTATTTATTTTTTGCTACACATCGTTTTCGGCAATTTTTCTCCTAAAGATCGTTCGATTCATTCGTCGGACCATTTGGATCGCACGCATACATCGTTTCAAATAAATTTAGAAGTTGGCTGTAATATGCATAATGTACAGTAGTTGTCAGAACTTATGCTGGGTTGTGACATACTATAATAGCATCTTATACTTTTATATAGCGATATCTTCAGTTATTGTTCAAGGTTTGTCAGCCTATTTAACTTCTCCATTTATTAGAGAAAAAACTATATAATATGGTTTTATATAATCCTAAGGAATATTTGCAAATATAATATGCAATTCAAGTACACGGTTGTACAACATCTGTTTTCCATAAGATTGGAGTAGTAGAAAAAATGAAATAATTAATATGTAACAAGGTCGCAGGAACTTATATAATTTATTTACAATGATTAGTAATAAGATCACAATGTAATTTTGTATTATGAGGTAAAATATAATACATGTCTTTGTATTATCAACAGAATATCTATTTAAGTAGTTCTTATTCTATCACAAAAGTTTTTATATGATGATATACATATAAAAGAATGAGTAATTAAAGAAATTTGTATTTTCAAGTCATCATCAATTTTCTAATACTTCTTTTGTTAACATATTTTCAAAAAAGTTGATGTTTAATTATAGCAATGCTTCTACCAATGTAGAATCTTTCTATATTTGTAACAGGATGGTATTTATAGTACAGTATATGGTTTTTCAACCTACAAGCTCTTTTTTTATAACATCTGTTATTTGACATTGAGTTATAACAAACTGTTGATATCTTTAAAAAAGCTAAAGGTACTTTAGTTACTTAATTTTCCGTTTTATAGGATTATTGAAATCACCGCAATAGTAATAGCAATATACGAAATTTTGAAATGGAAAAGAGTGCGGATGGGTTGTTGTTTCGCGCAGAGAGAAATAATGGGGCTGACGAAGGAGCAATGGATATAGTATCTGCCGATGAAAGAGTGGCTATTTTAGATGCAGGTGCACAATATGGTAAAGTCATAGATCGAAAAATTCGTGAACTAAATGTTCACAGTGAAATTTTACCTCTTGACACACCTGCATTTACTCTTCAAGAGAAAGGATACAAGTAAGAATATCACAACTGTGTATCGTGTAATTTCAGTATAACAGTTGATATAGTTTTAAATGGTAATTATTATTTTAACTACAAATTGTAGGGCTATTATCATTTCTGGAGGGCCAAGTTCTGTATATGCAGAAGATGCACCTAAATATGATGCAGATATCTTTAGAATAGGTGTACCAGTACTAGGTATTTGTTATGGGATGCAAATGATGAACAAGGAATTTGGTGGTACAGTAATTCGAAAGGAGGGACGAGAAGACGGTCAGTTCTCAATTGATGTAGATTCCAAGTGCCTATTATTTAAGTAAGTGAGTTTAACAAATTTCTCTGATTTATCGCTACGACCTTTGAATGTGATATAAAGAAAAAATTAATTATATCTTAGGGGCTTGGAGAAAGCACAAATGGTACTGTTAACGCATGGGGATAGTATAGGTAGGATGGCTGATGGTTTTCGTATCATTGCCACATCACCAAACTTTATAGCAGGAATAGCAAGTGACAAAATGAATTTGTATGGTGTACAATTTCATCCAGAGGTAGATCTTACAACTAAAGGGAAAACAATGTTGCATAACTTTTTGTTTGGTATTGCTGGCCTCACGGGTAATTATACTCTTCATAATCGAGAGGCACAATGTATTCAGTACATCAAAGAGACTGTTGGCAACAAAAAAGTTTTGGTAAGAAACAAAGTTGTGTAATAATTACTTTCTTTTGCTTGTATAAAATTATTCATTCTTATGTTTGGAATTTATAATAATCTTGATGCAATTTAAATGTTGGAGACTGTTGATACAAAACCCATTGCATCAAATTCATAAAGTTAACGTAATGTTCAATAGTTAAGTATATATGATACACATAAATTATTTTGGAAGGTAATTGAAAGAAATTAAAGTCATAGTATAAGCTATATCAAAATGTGATCGTCAATTAAAATAGAAAAAAAACAATCATAGTTATTAGTGAGCGGAGGTGTGGACTCGACGGTATGCGCAGCATTATTACATAAAGCTTTAAGCAAAGAGCAAGTCATAGCTCTGCATATCAATAACGGCTTCATGCGGAAAGGGGAAACACAATTCGTAGAACAAAGTTTGGCACAATTGGGAATAAGATTGAAAGTAATCAATGCTGCTCACTACTTCATGCAAGGAACGACGTCTGTCCCCTTGGATAATGTCGCTTCAGTAGCTAATACAAATGCTATAAACAATAAAGGAATAAGCGGAACAGGAGCTAGTCCGAGAACTAGATTAACCAAAATGTTATGTGCAACAATTAATCCAGAAGAGAAACGAAAAATTATAGGAGATGTTTTTGTAAAAGTAGCAAATGAAGCAATGGCGGAAATGGGTTTGAAACCAGAAGAAGTGTTTCTTGGACAAGGCACCCTTAGGCCTGATCTTATAGAAAGTGCGAGTACATTAGCCAGTGGTAAATTGACATTTATAAATGCGTTATTTATACTTTAAAAAATAACATTTATTTACTACTTTTTTCCATACCTATCTAAGAAGCATCCAGTCAGATTTACATAAGATGCAAACGTTTCTGCCAGGTAAAGCAGACGCGATAAAAACACATCACAATGATAGTGAACTCGTCAGAGCGTTAAGAGCACAGGGTCAAGTAGTAGAACCCTTAAAGGACTTTCACAAAGACGAAGTGAGACAATTGGGATGTGATCTTGGACTGCCGCCTTCGCTTGTTGCTCGTCACCCGTTTCCTGGACCTGGGCTTGCTGTCCGCATTCTGTGTGCAGACGAACCTTACATGGATAAAGATTTCTCAGAAACGCAGGTATCCTCCATTACGGTATTAGCAATAATGCGATCTCTTATCCTTTCTAATCAAATTTAAAACATTTTTATTTGATTCAAGGTGATAGTCAAAATAATGGCGGAATACGAGCAAATGCTTCAAAAGAAACACGGACTGCTAAATCGTGTAGAAAGCGCGACCAGTGAATCCGAACGACAGCATTTACGACGAGTTTCGAGTCATTATCATATCACTGCAACGCTATTACCTATACGCAGTGTAGGAGTACAGGTACGGTTTTATCAATTTCGGGTGATTGCGATTTCGCCAATGTGATATATATCTAATACACTTGATACATTTATTAGGGAGATCGGAGAAGTTACAGCTACGTAGTAGGTTTATCTAGCGAAGTAACCACGACGGAAGGAATAGGGTGGGAGGATCTATTGTTCCTTGCAAAATTAATTCCGCGCGTATGTCATAATGTAAATCGTGTGTGTTACATTTTTGGTCTTCAATTGCATTTTCCTGTAACGGATATCACACCGACTCATCTTACGTCGAATGTGATAGCTACGCTCCGAGAAGCGGATCATGTAGCAAATCAAATGTTAGCTGCTAGTGGCTGTATGGGGGCAATCAGTCAGATGCCAGTAGTTTTAATTCCCTTACATTTTAATCGTGACGCTGCTTCTCGGATACCTTCATGCCAACGTTCAGTTGTTCTTAGGCCGTTCTGTACTAACGATTTTATGACTGGCACTCCGGCTATACCAGGCAAGGAGTTGCCATTGCATGTAAGTATGATTGATCTCAACCAGAGGTGAGCAATATTTCATTTAAATAATAATAACGAATAAAATTGCTCGTCTCTGATCATGTTTAAAGTAGATCGATTTTCGATACGAGATACTGTACCCGTCAGTCATATATTTTTCTTTCATAGGTGCTGAAGAAAATGGTGATCGAAATATCTGCAATACCTGGTATCTCGCGAGTTTTGTACGACTTAACATCTAAGCCGCCGGGAACTACCGAATGGGAGTAGTAAACGCTCATCCCTAACTCACCCCTTTCTATTTTTTCACCATCCCTGCGCGTAACGATTACAAAGTAAAAAGTATATTTAAAAATATATATATATATATTACAAAAATACGTACGAATTCGAGGTTTATGACTTCTTACCGATTTATATGAAACCTTTGAGCAAAATTCTTTCAAAAACATACGTTCTTGATTGTAAATTAATATGTTATCTAAAAAATACTGATACTGTGTTCAATGAAATTGAAGGTAAGTATCATGTTTGCTTGTAAATAGGTTTCCTATTAATCATTGTAAAAATATTAATTTATTAAATTCCGATGAAATTTACATTACATCATTGTTACACTGCAAAAGGTTGCATTTGATTGGTGGTACCATTAGATTGCTGTTGTATTCAATCTGCATATAATGTTGAACGTATTTTACTGTTTTCCTGTATGTCCTATGCCAAATGCAATTTCCGGTTTTTGTCATACATCTAAAAATATGAACATAAATAAGTTAATGTATTATGTCTTTAATATCATTTTTATTTATCAATCGTAACCGAGTAAAATGATATCTATTCCTTCAACCCTATGTGTTACATTACTTAATATCCACCTGCTATAGGGGTGAATATAACAAATCTTGCAAAAACCTAGATATACCTATGCATGGTTTTCAACAAGATGTGTAACTCTTCGATGCGTTTCTTCTCCGGAAGCATGCTAAGAAATGTTGCAAGTGATAAGAAATCGACCTCGTTCACAGTTTTAGAATTAGTAACCCATACTTGTATTTGCATCTTCACCTGCAACCGTATATTTTATATATACATTAATCCCGCAAAATATACTTGCAAAAGATAGTATTACACTATCAGGCATGCATCCTTTGCACTACATGAAACGACTAGATCAAAATTTAACAAGGTATCGTCACTATAACATTTTGTATGCTTTCCGATGAAGACGTTTCATGAATGGAATACAGTAATTTGTAGCGATAAAAAGTTAATCATCAACGCTACCTGTTCTAGAGGTAAATTAAGTAACCGATTGACGAGATCAATTAAAATGTTTTGATGTTGAATTGCACTTTCATTATCTTCCGTTATAGTTCGATTGTGAGAAAGAATGGCCTCAGTTTCGTCCGCAGTAATCTGATTCTTATTAGGTTCGATCCTTTCCACACAAGATACCAAAGACCTTGAAACACCGTTACCATTTTTTTTATCCGATTTATTTTCAGGCTCATTTTTATTCTCTATGTTTTTAAACGCAGCCTTTATACCTTTCTTCTTATTATTTTTAGAAGATGTTACTTTAGAATTTTTATTATTATTCTTTGATTTCGAAGTACGCTCAACTTTTTTGTATTCCTTTACATTTTGTTGACCTCTCGCAGCCTCTCCACCGATATGCGATGTTTCATCTTTCTTGATGTTGAAACATTCTGCTTTCTTAGCCTTACAGTACGTTTGTACTTCGCGTCTCATGTCTTCCGATAGTGCAGCTAAAAAATCTGGATCTACTTGCGAGAACGATATATTTTCCTCGTTGCGATTAAGCTCGCCAGTGTTTGTTTCGTTCGTCGAGGATGTACAGTTTCTGTTTTTATTTTCGTTAATGTTCGGATTATTCTGATTTCTTTTAACACTGTATTCATTAAGTATTTCATTTCGTATATCTTCGGGTAATTCTATTAGAACGTTCATATCAATAGTTTCTATGGGTGGCATTTCAAACTTGGTTGACCTCGAAACCCCAGGTTTAGTTTGTTTAAAAAAATGTTCATGGTGCGTTTGTACACATTTTTGAGATTTCTTTTCATTGGCATTCGATACGCTAGTTTCGACTCGTTCCTTATTATTTGCTACAGTAATAAGGTTCTTATTTACTTTGAAATTTGATGTTTCGTTCTGAGTTTTTTCGGGAATATTAGACAAAATTGGTTCGTTGATATTAGATAGAATATGCGTTTCTTGATTATCGAGAACGATCTTGTTTTCAAGAACGGATGCGATAGAATTTACATGCGTTAAAGATTGAACTTCATTTCCCTTATTTACTTTGTCACTTTGTTTATTCTTGTTAACAAAACTCGTTAAGCGAGTATCGCGCGATTTATTTTTCAATATTTCTAATCTGGTTATCTGTATACCGATGCCTCTTGCATCTTCAGGCACTTTTTGCATTTGATTCCAAAGCGCGATGACTTCCCTAGAGCGTATAGACAAATTATTCCTTCGTTTAGGTACCATCCACAGAAGTACAAACATAGCTTTAACTTACTTTGTTATAATGTCAACGTCATCGATAGGAGCGATAAGATTCTTTGATTTCGTCATGTAGTCGCATAACCCGTGACCCATAAATTTTGCCGTTTCTTTCGGAGCCTCTTTAGCTCTAACTAACAGTTTCAATGTAATGCATCTGCCTCTTGCATTAGCTTTTTCCAATCGATTACATACTTCCGCGGATAACTTTTTCAAAAAACTTATTGCATCCTGATTATTCTCGAATCTAATTCCATAATTAACTTCGGCAGAGACTGATTTCCTAATGTGTTCTAAATTAAGTTTTGAATTATCTATACCACGGCACATATTATACAGTATTTCTCCCATTTTTTTACCAAATACATTTTGTAACGTTGATAACGAAATCGCTTGTAATTCTGCACAGGTGTGCACATTAATACCATTTAATTTCTGTGTTGTTGTCCATCCAACACCTAATTTGAGTAGATACAACACTAATATAATATGTGTAATAATAACTACAAATAACACTATCTATCTAATACTACCTGGCAAATCTTGTACATCAAAGGTACCAATGTGTTCCTGTTTTATATAATATTGGCCATCAGGCTTAGCTTTTCTGGTTGCCAGCCTTGCCAATAATTTATTGCTTCCAAATCCTGTTGATACAGGACAACCTGTTTTTTGTCTTATTTCCTGCCTAATTACAGCTGCAAACTCCATTGGTGTTAAACAAGATTCTTGAAGTATTACAGTACAGTTCGCATACATTTCATCGCAACTAACGGCTTCGATATCTAACGTGTACGACGCTACGGTATCATATAATGCATAGGAAACTTCCTTGTAGCCTTCAAAATCATATGTTATCGTCTTTAAATTGGGACATATTTTTAATGCCTCTCCTAAGAACATGCCATTTTTCACTCCAGCTTTTCTAGCCTCATAGGAACAAGATGCTATTTCTGACAATGAACCATGTTCATCATCTTTATTTTCATTGTTACTTGAAACTTTCTTATTACCTTTTGCATGTGTTACTGCAACAGGTAAGCCTTTTAATTCTGGCTTATTCCTAAGACCCACAGAGACAAAGAAACAATCCATATCTATGTGCATTATAACAGGTCCTTGATTAATATCTGTTTTATTCTCTTCATGTACTTCGAATATTTCATTATTAAAGCTAGATTGAGAGTCAGATAATGATTTATTTAACTTCATATCATGTAACTCTTTCAACCTTATTAATCCAGGCAATTTTCCATTGCTTTTATCCCTTAATTCGTTAACATAATCTTTGAATGTTGCTCCCATAGTTGAGATATGATGTAATCGAGAATGATTATAAAATTCTGATATGAATTCTGAATTTTTTGTCGAAAGAGCATCTCGTGAAGTATGAGGCACAGAGAGATTTACAATATTCTGATTTGTACTAATACTTTTTACCATTTCATTATTTTTGTTATCATTCATTAAAATGTTATTTTCTTCTTGTATCTTACTATTTGCATCAAGATTACCATTTGTCCTACTTTTTCTATCTTTTATTATACAGTTTAATTGAGGCTGTACGCTTGTGCATTGAGAATAGAGTAAATAATCTTGAAAATTTAAAACCCTACCAGCCTTTATACTATCCACAATCCATTGAGGTTTGCAAATAGGAACTGGATTTTTACTTTTTCTGTACATCACTATTTTAGAATATGGTAAATTAGTTGCAATGACATGGGTTGTGGCTCTTGGCCTCATATAGTGGTGGTATATTCCGCCGTGTGCCATCATTAAACGACGAAGTTCATCTGCTGTTGGATCTGTATAGCCATTTACAAAAATTGCAATTCCTTCAAATATTTTTGATGCATCTTTAAATTCATTATTTGCTTCAAGTTTAAATTGCTCCTCTAATTTTGCTTGTTTAGCAGCCATATACCCACCCTAAAACCATTACATTATATACAGATCTATTTTGATTAATTTTCTAACTAGACATTAGCTATTCTTTACATACCCAATCTTCAAATCCATTTTCCCCCCAAGCTTCACCTTTTTTCTTTTTTGACATCGTGATAAATATTAAGTAAAATACTTTGCAACTTTTAAATGTATAATTTTAAGAATAATCATCATACCGATTAATATATATATCAAGTCTTTATTTGTTAAACATTATAAATAAAATAAAATATTTCTTTTACACTATATTTACAGAACTTCTCTTTGTATAACCTTATCAAAGGAAATACTTCGTAGAACGTTTCTATTTGGATTTAGATAAGATTTAAACATGCGAATAAAATATTTAAATAAGTGTAAACGTGTTACGGATGCAATAAAAACAAATTATTTGTTTATGTCAGATCTCAATGCCGTTCACACTGTTGTGACCGATGTAGCGTACGAAAAGAGACACGAGGTCATTTCACTTTAGCTTTATTAACTAGTTTAATGAATATTCAAATCACATGATTCCCTCTGAAGTTAAACTTTAGACCTGTCCGTGTAAATACCTGATTTGTAATGAAAACACATTAATATAGAAAAATAACATTTTCCGTTTATTTAATATTTATTTATACAATTCAAAGAATATATACTGGCAGTAACTATACATGTTGCTGATCACTATAGTTTGTACAATTCATTGCAATCTCATTCGTACAAATACTATAAAAATGTATTTGTTTTATATAGTTTAATTGGGTTGCAATTTTATGGTAGGAAATCTTACACAATATAAATATTACAAAACAAAAAATAAAATATATATTTTCTATGGTAATAACGAGTAAAAAAATCGTATCAAACGATTTGTGTTTCCTTAGAAGAATGTTCATAGAATGTATCGTTTTTGTACAAAAAAAAAATATTGAGATTTATCATTGTAAAAATATGCATGCAATAGTTACGCAACTGTGATGTAATTTCGAATTAATAATCACATAAAATTCCAAACAAACGGAAGTTAGACAATAACAAAGTACTTGTAACAAAGAAAACGTTTTGCAAGCACATTTTTATCTCGACGAAGATTTGTACGAAGCATGTATAAAGCACACACTAGTCACAAATAATATAGTATGAACACTGCACTGGAAGAGTGAATGTAACCTACAACAATGTTTCTAAATACAAACAGATTTTTTTGAAATCTTTTTTATAAGACAATGCATTAACTAAAAATTGCATTAAATAAGTGTTTGAAATCTTTTCGAAGATATCGATTTACTGCACGTATATTTGCCATATTTACGTATTATTTATGGTTATGCAAAATGTGTTTTATACATTGTGTTCATTTGTTCTAAGAAAACAAATGTCAACACAGTGTGCGGCCCTAAACGAGCGTAGTAAGGGAAGAAACCTTTCCACAATGAAAATAATCCCTCGTTTCGACAAACCCGAACTATGACATCTATTGCACCTTTAAACTCAGGCTTACCATCCACAATTTTCATGTTTTGTATTCTGTAAGAAATGTAGGATGCAAACATGGAAAATCATATTGAAATTAAAATATGTTGCTAACTTATGGTTATGCAGTATTTACCTTGTCTTAGCTATGTCAACTGGCATAGAAGCAGCAGTTGTTATTAAACCAGAAATCATGGAGCTTACAAAGTGCAATGTGATATTCTCTTTAAAGTAGCCTATCCAAATGAAGAAAAAACAATGCTATAACAAGCAATTACAATTTGTTTCATATTTTTTTTGTTATGTTTATACAAACCAGTGTTAAGTAAAATTTCTTTAGTTTGAGAATACGATGCCAATTGAGCAGCATTTACAACCATAGCTCTTCCCATTGTTGGCACAGTGCCTCTCCATAATGCTAAAACACCTTCTTCTCTCACTATACGAACCAGCGCATTAAATACATTCTTATAATTGCGTCTCTCAGCTAAAAACACAACACTGTTCAGCATTGAGAAATCCTGACCAAAGGAAGAACAAATTATAGACATACCAGGAGGTAGTCTGCCATCGGCAGTCATTCTAATTAAAGCAACTTCTGCAGGAGTACCTACGCATGCTCCTACACAACCAGCTGTACTACCTATCAATGCTTTTACAGCAAAGTTAGGTTGACTGTCCTTTCTGAATATAACGAATGAGAAAACAAACCAATGATGTATACAATATTCTTTGTATCTCTCCTATTTATATTGTTCAACAGGTAGCATAACTAAAGTCTAGCAAATGAAAGAATCTTTTTGGTTGATCACTTATCAGTTACTATATCGAGGAGGACTCTATCAAGTTACAATAGCTTTTGGAAAAAATAGCAACAAGACCAAAAGAGTAAAGTCACAGCCTTCCAAGTCTATTGTTTCACTTGCCAGGCCATAGTGACAAAGGTATACTCACGAAGCAACTTCAAACAGCCAGGTATAAATACCAAGTCTGGTAGTTGTATATGTACCTTGACGCATTAAACCAGCAGACAAACCTGAATAAAATGCTAGGAAACCCTCCTTTTCAATTATAGAATATACTATACTCATAGTTGATGTTTTTGTACCGCTTAATTGCATACGATTTTTTATTAAATCTAATGGTTGAACAAAACATGTTGCAGCCATTCTAGAATAAAATGTTCACAATGAATTCAAATTATTCTAACTCTTTAATTTAAATTTCAAAAGATGATAAGCATAAAAAAATGCAGATAAAAAAAGAAGCCTTAAATAAAGTGTAAAGTACACAAAGCTATTTTTAGCTCTAAAAATATGGAAGCTCCTATTACATATTTTTACATAATATTTGAACAATCTTATCTTTTGTTAAAATTATAATTTTGCAATAATGTAAATATTTTACATAATTGAAAAATTAAAATACGCAGAATTTGCGATTCGATAAGTAATTAAAACTAACAACTCAAAATAAAATTGCAATTAAAGTAATTAATTAGTAAATGTATTCTTTATTTAATTTGTTTTCTGTAACATTATGTCATTTACTGTACAATTAACTATAAAAGAATTATAAAACAAACCCTGCGGTTCCTCCTATGAGAAACTTCACTGCATTTGGCACAGTCTTTTGGTTACTCATAATGACAACTATTTGACACTTGAACTGTCAGTTAAATAAAAAATCTTCAAATTCGTTTAGTTTGAAAAAATTTAAAAATTACTCGCGTTTAATGAAAGCGGCACTTGTAAAACTACAACTAAAGACGGCTAGCAGAGCTTGATCTAGGCTAGCCACGAGCAGCCACGAGGCGTAAAGTTATCTAAATGAAAAATTATCAATTCCTCGTGAAACTTCATCCTCCATCGACCGTACGCGCTGAATTCTAAAATGTGCACGTTCAGCGACATCTTGTTGCGAAGGAACGCAACGTGTCTAGATTAGTACACAAAAGAACGTTGGCATTATAGAATTCTGGAACAAGAGATTAACAATATCAAATGGAATTAACACAGGGGAATTAAAAATAATCAGCTTGGGAATTTAGCAGCGGGATTGGTAAAATTAAATTTTATTATAATATAAAACAATTCGGCATCATCGATCCATTGCATATCATCGCTGTATAATAATATACACAAAATAATCGCAGATTCGCAGTCACTCGATTATTCCCATCGACTTTTTCTCACTCTTTTCTTTTCTCCGGCGATGTTCGAGGCTTGGTTATCTTGATTCTGTGGTTGCTGTATATTTGGTTTAGGCGGCATAGGGGGTGGCGGGGGCATTATCACGGAAGGCGGCGTTATGGTTTGTTCCCACGTATGGTCCGATGATGCTCGGAACTGAAATCAGATACTCGCCCATGTTTACCACCTTACAGTTCCTTCGTAATAAAATTAAATATAAAAATTTCTCATGAAATAATATCTGATATTTTCTTCCGGCCACTATAGTGCACACTATCAATCATGAAGAACCAGACTGTGAAAATCCCGAGTACCTGAAACTTACCTGGGTGTTGTATTGACTACGGAACGCGGCTTTCATCGCGGACAACCGATCGCTACCTGATCCGTGTCTCTCCAATTTCTTCACAACCTCGCTGATGTCTTTTGATCCCTGAGACGAAGTACTGCCACTCTAAAATTATTCTGGTTTCAGATCATCTTTCGAATATTAAGTATAGATTGTTTGTGGTGACCCAAATAGGAAAAGAAATTCTATCGAGTAAATACCGAGGTTGAAGATACTTCCGGCCTTCCTCTGAAACCAAGTCCGGCACCTCCAACGTTTAAGCTTTTCCCTTTTCCACCTTTGAACCTGGACTTTCGGAACCAAGCGCTTTGCATTGCCAAATCTAGCAAACTCTTTGGTACCTCTTGATTCGCTCCTTCCAAATTTCGGACTAGATGTCCAGCAAATTCTTTATCTTTCTCTGTGACGAGAGTATACGCAGTACCCTTCTCTCCAGCTCGTCCTGTTCTACCTATTCTGTGCGTGTGGGTGTCAATGTCTCTTGCGACGTCGTAATTGACGACTGTCTTGATATGTGGAATGTCCAAACCCCGAGCTAAAAAAAAAAAGATAACATATAGAAAAGAGAAACATCTTGTCCTAGTTTTTAGAATCACTCTATATTTACCAGCGACATCAGTGGCGACTAAAGTACTGACATCCTTTCTCTTGAATGCCGTAATTACTTTGTTCCTTTCGATTTGATCCATGTCGCCGTGTAAGAGCAAAACATCGAATTCTTTCAATTTAAGATTGTTCGCGAGTTCTTCTGCATTGAGCTGCGGTAGAAAAACGAGGGACGTTTAAAAAAAAAGATTACTCGCCTATCGTTTATGGACGACACGCGGTATCTAAAATCCATTCGATGGCGATTCCCGACCTTTTTAGTTACGAAGATCAGTAAACTACCAGCACTCAAAAACTCGACCAAATTTTGCAACAACCAAGTCCATTTCCCGGTTGGATTATTGTTGAAGACTATCACGTGCTGGGTGACGTCTGCGTTCGCTTCACCGACATCCCCTTGAACTATCCTGATAGGATCCGTTAAAACGTCCCTTGCGAGCTTTTCCACCCTCTTTTTGAAAGTTGCACTGAACAACAACGTTTGCCTGTCCGGTCTCACGTGGTTACATATAGAACGTACTTGCGGCTCTGAAATCAAACAGAGCGGTAACAAGCAAAGTAAAAATATTATTAATAGAGAATACTATCTCCGGACGACACTGCATAATCGATAAAGAAAGAGTTGTTATCGGTTACAAGGTAAATCACATTCCATAATATATAGCTGCTGTTAAAGGATTACGCTATCTTAGCTGAGCCAAAAGAGAGATATAGCCTTTTTCTTACCAAAACCCATGTCAAACATCCTGTCAGCTTCGTCTAACACCAGAAACGTCACTCTGCTCAAATTTGTTGCCTTCATTTTAACTAAATCAATCATTCTACCCGGCGTTGCAACTACAATTTCCGCGCCTCCCTCCAATGCTTTACTCTGTTCCCATTTGCTACCACCACCATAACAGCAACACACTTGAATGTTGTATACTTTTCCAAATTTTCTTGCTTCTTGATAAATCTATAAAGAATACCATAAAGACCTATGAAATGTTTTCACGATCTTGAATGCATCAGTGTACAGTTCCTTCCTTATACTGTGAATTGAATTTTCGAAACACTGTTAAAAGATTTCTCTAAAAGTTAAATTGTCCTACAGAAAAATACCTGTTGAGACAATTCTCTTGTTGGGGCCAGAATCAGACCGATGGGTCCGTCGCCTGGCTTCAACTCTCGCTGATCCATAATGTGAACCAACATCGGCCAGATGAAAGCTGCTGTTTTACCGCTACCAGTTTTTGCTATACCTATTATATCCCTACCATTCAACGCGGCAGGTACAGCTTGAGCTTGGATAGGGGTAGGTTGTGTGTATTCGTTTTTCCTGATGGATTTTATCAACGCATCGTCGAAACCGAAATGGCCGAAACTGGTAACCGGGTTTGGCGGAGATGGACCAGATACTTTAATCCCTAACGTTTTTCTCAAGTCGTCGATTTGTTGTTTATTTAAACTAGCGATTTCTTCGTGAACATTATAAAAGTTTTTCTCAAACGGTTCGTATTGTATTTCGCTGTGATCGATCGGCGGCAGAGGATCGATCTCTTTCTTCTTTGGTGGCGCGATAGGGTTCCCATCTTCGTCATACTCGATCTCCTGATCAGACTCTTCTTGTTGTAAACCAGCAGTTGGGTTCTCCTCCATGTACCTTATTAGATAAACAGCCTCATAGTTTTTTAATACCCTTTCTCTCAAATTTCCTCTAGCTGCAAAATACAGTTAATGGATCCTACCTGTAGTAACTTTCTTCATCATCTTCTCCATCAATGTCTGCTCTAAAGCCCTTGGGCTTATCTTCTTTTCGCTCATCCTCTGCCAGTTGAGCTTCAAAAGTGTTTCTCTTCACTTCTGCATCGATACCAGCCATAAAGGCATCCAGTGGATCTTCTTCGCTATCACTGTCTTGCTTAGGAGTTGATTTTTTCATCAACTCATAAGTTGGAGATCCAGGTGCTGGGATGTATTCCAAGGAAGATGCTGGAGGATCATCATCATCCTCAAAGTACCTGAATTCATACATTTTAAATCTTTGGATGTAAAGTCATGGGATAATTTATTCCAGATTTACACTTACTCTTCTTCGGTTTTACTACGTTTCTTTGGCATGCCCCAACATGCAGATAAGGCATTCTCGGTGATAGAATTCATAGTATGATATCCTTGTTTACTTAAAGTGGAATTAGGAGGAGGCGGTGGTATGTTAGAACCGCTCCTTTTTGTGCTGCTCATTTGAAAGCCAGCAAACCCAAAGCCTTTAGGCTTGTTACCACCTCCACGATGATAACTCATATTTTTCTTATAATCTGCTAAAACGTGGTTATATTAAAGATTGCTCATACGCCCTGATGTTACTCTTTAAAAAAGTTGGATTCAAGATGTCTTATATCCTAAACCACTTTGGATTGCACTGACTCTAAGTGTAACTATAATTCTTGAATACTTTTCATCGGTTCAAGAAAAGTATCGTTTATCTCTGGCCGCAGAATCGAATATCAAGTAAATACATCATTGGTAAATCTTCAGTTCGAAATACAAACGCTCAAAACGGAAAAATTAGGAAACCATATATTTATCATTTGTGTCTATTAGAATAACGAACATAGTAGAAGCAAAATGATAGCGGTATTTACACGGCACCGTTTTAATGATACAAAAACATAACTTTCATTGATAAATATTTATTGTTTTTGTCCCGACACCCAAAAAGAGGTTAGAACATCTTTGTGACACATTAGTCCCGTTTGTAATGTTGATGTAACTATTCGTCACACATAAACACTGTTTCACTTTTTCGTCGATATTTTTGGACGATTACGTGAATCGAATGTACCTTACACAATAAAATCGTTCAAGAACTTTTCTTACACTTAACAAAATGCGACTCCAAAATCTTAATATCGAACGGTAAAGTGTATTCTGCAACAACTAAGACGGTGCTGCCCCCATACGAAATCATCCAGGATAATATCTGCATAGTAGAGACCATCTTTTTCTCAACGTCCTGTACATTCTGAATTCTGTTGTTTCCGCAGTCTACTTATGAAGTATCACACAACTTTCTTTTGTACATACTTTGAAGATCAATGTTTATCGACTTGTATCGATGTATAATTAATTTCTGTTTGAATAGATAAAATATTTCATTAGTAATTAATTAATTAATATGAGACTAAAAGAAGCAATGTAGGTGAATACTATGTGCTTAGAAGGAGTAAACTCAAAGAATTGTTTGCGGGGGTTTCAGCTCCCCCACGCGACCATTAGAGTAACGAATACTATACCGATTCCATTCTTTTTCTCTTTGATAAAAATTGTTGAGATACTTCAGCTTGCGTTTACTTATATATTATTCTAATGGAAAAAATAATTCTAATTGATGAAACTACATAGGAAATAGTTTAATGTAACTACAATCAATGAAATATTACTGAAAAAAACTGATAAGCTTAAAAAAACTGATAACCTTAAACCATACCATTACTCTGATAAGTTTCATGTACGCACTTTATACTTATTGTTTTATTTCGCAAAACTATTAGGATGTATTTGTTGATTTTATTCTTCAGTTTTAGTAAAATGGAATGTTAAAAAGGCAAGAGATTATTTTCTGTTCTTTTTATTGAACTGTTCTTACTTTTATTGAATGAAATTGATTTTGAACTCCCAGAAGTGTTTCAGAGTTTACTACTTATAGGCGCAAACGAATGTTCAGATTGCAAAGGGTTAATACTCATTCTGTCGGAGTTACAGAAGATTCAATTAATCGATGCAATTGCGCGTTCTCAGGAAAACTGTGCGCTTGGTAAAGTGTTAATATCGCCGATTAACAGGATCGTCTTCGTTAATACTGTCGAGAGAGAGAGGCGACATAAATAGTCCTAACAGAGCTGAATCGATCGAATGCTCGAGCCTGCGTGCTGGTGGATACCCCATGCGACTTCTCCGTAGATTTCAGCGTCCGTCGTGATCTCATTCGTCACAGTTCAGATATCGTTCCAACGAGTCAGCTCTGTCATCCGTTTTCCAAATCGGTTTTGTAAACCACAACCGCGTAAGTACCACGATAATCTCGGAATGCTGCGATCGGTGCAACGGAACGTTTGTTCAACATACGTTTTCCCTCGAGCGTGGTTCCTTATCGGTGCAATCGGGACGATTTACGACATTTTCGTTGGTTGATCTCCCTCGAAACTGAAAGTACCATTTCGTACTCGATATTATTGCTAGAATAGGCAGAAGTGTGTACGTCTGATTTCATAAATATCTGAGAATGTGCAATTACGTTCTGTACGTGCCTCTTCGTTCGAGTTCGTCGTATCCTTTTTGATTATTTTTACGCATCGACATCTTTATAGAAGTTTTTAATTTCTCCAAATTTACTTCTGAGATGCATCGAAGTGTCCTGGGAGTAATCTTCGGAAGAAGATTCTCCTTTTGGGGAATACCGGGGATTGCGTGGGATTCCCCGAACCGTTCACATGGCGTTGCAGGACCTACCCGCTACCTAAAACTCCCACAGTATACGTGCGTATACGTGCTCCCTACTGCGTGCGTATTAAAAGAGGGGGGCTGTGAATGTCAACGACACAACTTTCAGTGCCCCCCACCCCGTCAAGAAGGACGTGTGACGTATGACGCTTGCTTTTTTCAAGAGATGTCAAGGTCATTTTCGATTTTGAATGCCCAACCTTTTATTCCATCGTTCGAGGAAAAATAGATAGAGTTCCAATAGTGTGAACAATTCAATGAATGATGGATTTGGTTGTGCGATGTGTGTCCTCCTTGAAACAATTGATTTCTTGAAACATTCTTTAAAAGGTGGAAAGGTTGTGGAACAAAATGGTTCATATATAATTCAATAAATATACATGAAAATTCAAATATGTCTTTCAATTTTTCTTAAAAATAGCTACGAACTTTCCGGACAACCCAATAATTAAAATGGTTAAATTAGATGCCTAGTAATATTAAAAGTTACAACTCCCACTGACAATATTAATCAAGCGACCCTCATCAGCAATGTTTGTTAATCTAAGAAACATGTTTTCAACAGCTAAAAATGCCATCGGTACGCCGGATGATCTTGGGGCACGTCGTATCCGGCTTGTGCACCAAAATGAATCGAACGAAAAAGCTTCAAGGTGATTTACTGGAGACACCGATGAAGAGGTGCCTTTCCACGTTCGACATCACGCTCCTCGGTGAGTCTCCGCATCCTTTTCGTGCTATTTCAGTCGTAAGGACGCGCCACGGACGACCTTTCGCCATATCTCATCCGTCCGCGATAAAGTACTTTCCGTACCGGAAAAAATGTTAATTGCACCGCACGGCATTCCAATTTAGCGAGGCAGGCGCATCCCATATTCGACGTCAATGCAAGTCCTCGCGATACGAATCGTTCGTTATGGAAGCGATGCACGTCCATTTGAAAAAAAATTGAATATCTGGTCTGGTTATTTAAAATAATAAAAGAAGGCGTGGGTGGACCACCAAGCGTACAGTTTGTTAGAATTTTTATGAATACCCACTGTTTGCATTTTCTATATTCTTTGTACGTAGCTTTTAATCGTGAGAATTGGCTCAAGTCATCCGGTGGCTTAACTTTGATTGAAACTTTCTACAAGGATTCGCCGATCGGCGCTCTTTTGACGGCATGCAACCATTGTTGCCCCTTTTGTTTAACTATTTCACAGAGCGCCGTCGACAATGGTTAACGAACAGTAAGTCGTCCGGCGAATTTGGGGGTGTCGGTCGAAATAAAAATCATTTAGCGGAGATTTGTGTTTCCACCCTGAGACCCTCTCACATAATAGCCATAGTCTTTTTGTACGTTGATTTTGTCTCTAAAAGAGTTTCGGTATTAATGACCTTATGATCCGATTGATTATAACTCATTTTGTTTAGTAAAGAAATTTCATTAAACCTGATTCTGTTCGGGTGATCGAGTCTACATTGTTCGAGCGTCTGATTAATTCACTTATCGGCGATTGCCCAAAGCACACAACCAGCCAATTAGCGCTTATCGACGTGTCACGGCCGATTGAAATGCAAATCCTTTTATACTTGAAAGCAGAGATAAGCGGAGTCACCGGTTGCATAATACATGGCTGATATCTTGATGCGATCATCGACGATGATAAACAACGACGATTGTCTTTCAGGTGTGGGTCATATGGTCGGCGCTGGGATTTACGTCTTGACAGGAGCCGTGGCCCACAACACCGCTGGTCCGGGTGTAATTTTGAGCTTCCTATTCGCTGGGGTGGCTTCCCTATTCGCGGCTCTATGTTACGCGGAATTTGGCTCTCGAGTACCAAAAGCTGGCAGCGCTTACGTTTACACCTACATCACCGTAGGTGAATTCTGGGCGTTCGTGATCGGTTGGAACATCATACTGGAGCACATGATCGGTAATGTCGTTTCATTTGGATGGTTTCATTTGAACGATTAATTCATTCCATCCCCGTCCTCATGTGGCATACGATATTGCTGAACTAGCAATTTTTTCTTCATTTTTCTTTCATCTAACTTTTACAATTGCGACCAGGTGCTGCATCAGTGGCCAGAGCCTGGAGTGGATACGTGGACTCGTTAGCAGGAGGAGCTATAAGCAACTACACCCGTTACATGATGCACGGCTACACCATGGCAGAACCACTGGGACATTACCCAGATTTCTTAGCAGCTGGTCTCTGCCTGGCTTACGCTATGCTGCTCGCCTTGGGCGTCAAATGTTCAGCGACGGTCAATTCTCTGTTGACAATCATCAACCTAGCCGTAATGGCCCTGGTGATCGGTTTGGGAATTTCTTACGCGAAGCTTTCAAATTGGAGCAGCGAGAACGGAGGTTTCCTGCCGTTCGGGTTCACTGGAGTGCTAACGGGTACTTTAAGTAGCTATTAAGTATCCTCTTGAATGGGCAGATTATTCGATTAGACCTCAAATTAGTAGCCGATTACATTTTTAAATTGCACTTTTATGAACCTTGTAATATATTTCCTTAGAATACAGAAATCTGCGAGGTTCCTATATGATTACACCTCAAATTAGTAGCCAATGACATTTTTAAATTGTACTTTTATGAACCTTGTAATATATTTCCTTAGAATACAGAAATCTGCGAGGTTCCTATTTGATTAGGGCTCGAATTGGTAGCCAATGACATTTTTAAATTGCACTTTTAGGAACCCTGTAATGTATTTCCTCCTAATATATTTCCTTAGTACAAAGAAATCTGCGAGGTCCCGCTTGAGTATTTAGATTACTTGTCTGCCTTTAGAGTACATCAAATTGAATGCTCCATCTAGTCTTGTGTTTGCCCAATATGGGATTATGGTTACTGACACAGTATGTATGACGAATAGGTGCCGCAACGTGTTTCTACGCTTTCGTGGGCTTCGACTCGATTGCAACTTCCGGCGAGGAGGCCCGCGATCCTGGACGCAGCATCCCTCGAGCGACGCTTCTCTCTATGGCGATCGTCACCATGGGCTACGTTCTGGTTGGTGCAGCTTTAACGTTAATCGTACCGTATTACAACATCAATCCAACCGCAGCCCTTCCCGAAGCATTCTCATCGAGGGGGATATATTGGGCTAAATACGCAATAAGGTCAGTAGAGTGTCGCCTACACGGTCTGTCTGAAAAGAAACCGAACTTTTGCTATAAAAAGAAAAGAGTACATGTAAAGTTTGTACACACACACTTTACTCGCTAAAAATAATCTCCCTCTGCGTCAATGCAGCGTGTAGACCGCGCAATTAACATTTCGAAGGACCTTTGCAGCTCCTGTTTTGGTGAAATGTTCAATTTTGGGAAAAGAAAATAATCGCAGGGAGACAGATCAGGCGAGTAGTGTGGATGATCGAAGGTAACAATGCCAATTCCAATGAAAGGGACACATTATAGCAACATTTCGGAGATTCGGAATAAACGTGTGTGTAAAAACTTTACATGTACTCTTTTCTTTTTATAGCAAAAGTTCGGTTTCTTTTTAGACAGATATACGTACATATAGTACATACACGTTTATTCTAATATGGCCCTGGTCGAAACCCGTCGTCACAAGCCTGATTAATAACGCAAAGTGCGAAATGAGACCGATGACTGAATGAGTTAGATCTCTAAAGATATCTAAATTTTAAACTGTTTGAAACTGTATCACTTGTGTATATAACGATTCTTCACAGAACGATTAATCTACATGTTACTGTGCGTATATTATTTTTGTAACGATGAACTTGGACTGGAATCATTTTAAATATCCACAGCGTGGGAGCGTTGTGTGGGATGACAACGACCCTTTTCGGATCCCTGTTCTCTCTACCGCGGATAATGTACGCAATGGCGAACGACGGTCTGCTCTTCGGGTTCCTGGGCCACGTGAACGAACGCACGCAAGTACCGGTTCTGAACTTGGCCATCAGCGGGATTCTCAGCGCCCTGATCGCTTTGTTGTTCGACCTCCAGCATTTGGTCGAGTTCATGTCCATCGGTACGTTCCTGTCCTACAGCATCGTTTCGGCTAGCGTGATTGTCTTGAGGTATCGCCCCGAAAAGGTCACGCCTGCACCTTCGAATGCTGGCACTCCGAGCACCCTGGCATCGCCTCCCACGGAGAGCGCAGATTCCAATAGCGATTGCAACAGCGTCACATCCATCGAGTCAAAGGTAATCTGGTTTACCTAATCCGGTCATTCCACATTATTAAAAAATAGTTCCTGTATTAGAAATATTTCTTTCATTAGTACATATTAGTACATTTATTAACGTTTCCAATTGAAAAAGAATCAGTTCTTAATAATAATACATTACCCACATTATTAAACAATAGTGTAACGTTTTCCAAATCCTTTAAGGTACGTTCAAGTATCACTAAAGACTGCAACATAATCAAATTTGTATTAAGTCCAATATACTGCTCCATTTAGTGGCCGATTTCGCATGGAATGACCTTGATGGTATACAAACAATTTCTTTTTCTTATAATCTTTCTTATGATTTTATAACGCAGCATTTATTCTTACATATAAAGATATCGTTATTATTTCTCAGCAAATATTGTTGATAATTCATTTAACTATCTACGAAGTTTGCAAGAAACAATTGTTTTCGTCGTCAAGCTTTCTCCCGAGCTTTTCCGATCATTTTTATTTACGTTTCTAATTCTCTCGATTAATACTCATATCAGTCGTGTTAAATTCCGCAGCTTTTGGATCTGAGCGAAGGCACTGGCAAACTGAAACCACGATACGCCTGGATGGCTAAGTTTTTGGGCGACGGCAAGTCTGGAATGGGGGTGACCGGTTTGGTGCTGCTTTACATAGGTGGTTGCGTATCTCTAACCCCTTTGGTACTTTTAACGCACATGCGTATCTTTCCGATGGGTTGTGGCTACTTCACCGTGACCTATATGGTTATCTTGACGGTCGGAAGTACGTATTCTTCTTTTTCCGTTACTCCACGTGAAACTTATTCGAATACGCATACTAATACATCCGTCGCAGGTTTACTCATGATCTGTGCGTACCAACAAAATCCTCCTACTGGCGAATTTCGCGTACCCATGGTACCCCTGGTACCAGCACTGAGTATTTTGTTCAACGTGGGACTGATGTATCACTTGTCCCTTCTAACTTGGCTACGATTTCTCGTGTGGATGATATTCGGTGAGTCTAATGTAACGCCTTAAAAACTAGATGATATTATGGAATTTTTTAAAAGAAAACTATAACGTATATCGATTCCGAACTATGTTTGTATATCAATCCATATTTAACGTACATCTTTCCATTTTTTTTCAAGTAAGAATATTTATTATTGCTTTAAGAATATATTTGTTCCCTTGAATTAATTTCTCTACATGGCAAACTTAATTCTCGCTAACGTTATCGTTCCTTTGTTGCAGGAATATTGATATACTTTTTGTTCGGGATCCACTACAGCAAAGAGTCGACCAGCCCGGATTCTTATTCGGTTCTAATGGCGACCTCGGAAGCGGAAAGAGGAGCGAAGTGGAGCGCCACGTTGCAGCGCGTCAATCAGAAAAGCGATAAAGTTCCGATTTTAAACGACGACGATTTAGTCCACTAGAAACTTTACCGTTCCTCGAAACTGTATAAAGATATGCTAATCGCCGCTGGATGTAAATCGTTGTTCGTAGAAAAAGCGAAGCGTAACACGACCATCGTTCTCTTCGTTGAGGCTTGTAGAAGCCCCCTTAAAAATGGAGAACAGTTTCGACGGGCACTTGTACATACCGACGTTACGTGAAATGCTGAATCTAATTAATCGCGACCTCTTGAAACCCTCTGCCCTCGAAAGTTTACCGGGCCGAACATTGGAGAGATCTCAGAACAGACAAGACTGTGTTTTAGTACTTACCTTGGCTGGTTTTCGGTAGATACTGGTTTGTTCGTTGTATTATAATTGCAGGCCCTGATCAGAGTCTCCTTTATAATTTATCGCGCACAAATATACGCATATTCTTTATTTTAAAAGCGCGCATCGATTGCACGTCCCTATAGTAAATTCGAAAACGTTCGTTTACATGGTTTTTTCATAGATAAAGGACAGAACAAAAAGTTCATCCGTTGATATAGTACAACAGCAGAATTCGAGCGACTCTATGGGAAAGTATTACATTATAATATGATTCTTGACCAACCTGCGATCATCTGGTGCAAAAAAAAAATGGGTTGAACACTTTGAATTCGAAGATTAAAAGTAATCGTAAGGAAAGAAACTTGCGGGTATAGCGTATCCATTTAATCGCCAAGTGGACACACACACAGGCGTAACGTTTAAATCAAAAGACATAAGAGCAAAAGGGATAGAGGAGTCACCGTATTTTTAACGAAAGACCAGATTTTTAAAAGGGAGGCCGAGCGACTGTCTCTTCTAGTGAATTTTAACGTTCTGCTACAAGGATCGAAACATGGTGCCTTAGGAACGGATAGACTAATTATATAGTAAGATATATGAATCTAAATACATGACAATAGATTCGCCTGTTACACGGCAGGCATTAAGCTTAAGATTACCTGTACACAGATTTGCTAAGCACGTGGATTACCCAGTGGCGTATCGTCGTCGATGCCAGGGTCTGTCTGCTTGTAAAATAATACGTTTTCATTGTCTAAGCCGCGATAGATTAGAAAAATTCCGTTGGATTTATAGCATTGGCCCCATTTTACCGCAGAGGCTCGGTACGATTCGTATTGCACCGCGACGACGCCTCTGGGATCAACCGTTCCTCAGACCTGGGCAATTTTTATTTGAAATGAAAGTGAGAAATAATTATGCGAAATGATGTTCAAGTTATCTAGAAATTCTGTTCTATTTACGTAACTATATTTATATAATTCGTATAATTGCATAATTTATGTCATTCGTACAAATTATACAAGCTTTATACAGCTTCAGAAAAACAAAAACGCGAGATAAGGTACCATGTTACTTGAAATATTTGTTCGAAATGAAATAAGGTCCGTTCATTCCTCCTTCGAAATTGTATCACTTTATTTACGTTATAGTAAAATAATACAAGTTACATTATTACGTTTATATAATTTGTATAACTCTATAATTTATATCATTTATACAATTTATACATGTATTTATATATGTACGTGTTATATTTTATTTCACTTTGTAAAATAATATGCAAACTCTGATTGTACATAAAAACGAAATTTGAAAAAAAAAGCGAAGTAAGATAACATGTTACTTGAAATATTCTTTAAAAATGGAGTAAGATCACGCTCGCCCAATAAAACTGCCCAGGTCTACCGTTCCTAATCCACCAATCTACTCGTGATTGTCTCAACGTTAAGAATATGAAAGGAACACTATCGACTAATGAAATATCTCGCGGTTAATCGTTTCCGTGTAACATACGTAAGCGCACGTATCATCGTAAACCACAGTCCTCCGTTGAACAGATCAAACATGGATCGATTGCACTGGTTACAATAACAGATAAATATAATCGGTGTTACGTAAGAAACTATGTACATGCGTATCGATGTCGTAATGATTACTACCGTCGAAGTGTCGTAGCCGTTACTTAGATGAAGAAAACACCGTAGCGAAACCGTAACCATGTTGTACAAAGGTGTAACGCCAGAACCTAGCCATTCGAGTGTGTATTACACAGAATCAGTGGCGCATTACACCTTCACGGAGCACGAAACAAAATTCGGTGTCCCGATTTCAAACAAAAAGGAACAACGAACATTTTTATATCGAATCTTATTTTTAAAATAAATTACTACATTATTCCGCACAATAGCTACCCAAACGAAAACAATTATTCCTTTTCAGTTACCATGCACAAATTCGTTCAAGTGAGACCTTTTGTTAACTTCGATCTCCATTTATAAAATAAACAAATTACATAAGAGATATATCGAATATAGAACCTTCTTTAAAAAATTGTACATCGACGTACCGAAAACAATAATCAGCGTTTGAGTTATTTCCAGGTGAGATTGATACGTGTTTATGCCAAGTACCGCGAATAAAGAAATTCGTTTCACGTATCATTGTACGCGAGTACAATGCAAGTAACGAGAGCGAATTTTTTGGAGCTGTTCGAGGCCCTAGGATAATGCGCCACTGCAGCAGGGCAACCAGAAGAAACGCAAGGGGCCATCTACCCCCTACGAAAGAGTGTGAAACATGTTTTCAAATATTGGATTGTCCGGAAAGTCCATGTCGGTTTTTGTTAGGTGGTACAGGTCTGAATATATCGAAGTGGTCGAAAACAAATAACACGCATACATCCCTTAAAACGTGGAAAGGTTGTGGAACAGAATGGCACCTATGTAATTCAATAAATATATATTAAAATTCAAACATGTTTTTGAATGTTTCTTAGAAATTGTCACGAACTTTCTGGACAACCTAATACTATACCGTGATTCTTAAGGAACGCTTATTTATAAATAAATACAGATCTGCGAGAACGTTACCGCCCTCGAATTTGTCCAATCTCTGGTTGCCCCACTGTATGCATGTACAGAGTGAATCGCTTTAGTCACCGTCGTAGAATGTTTTTCGGTTAGCCCGTTTTAAGTGATTCACCCTGTAGAATAGAAATCGCGAGAAAAGAGTCGACGAATATTTTCATTCGGAATCGTCTGCGCACAATTTCCGGATGCACGAGCCATAGAGAATTTATATGTATCTACCCCCGAAATTTCTGAAACGTACGCGCAGTTCATAACGCTTAATGTACAGTAGATTACGTTACGATATCCGTATAAATATTATACAAAAATCAACTTTCGTAAACAGCGAATGCGCATTCTAATTATACACAACCGTTGCGATCATTCGCAGCGATCGATTGCGTGTATATTGGTATATTGCGTATAATATTGGTACACAAAAATGATTGTCAGTGTAATGTACTATATATCTTCTAATATAAAACGTTTACGATTGAAATCTATCGTATTTATCGACAATACGCGTAATGTTGTGCGTTGAACATATACGTTCCATTCGTTCGATCTGACTAGTGCTAAAATGGAAAAGCATGTTTTTTTCTATCGTTCTCCGAAGTACAACATCCGTGTTTTGTCTACGAGTTCCCTCTCGTCACGCTCGAGAACGAAGTCAAGCCGAATAGCATACCCCTCTCGAAATAAGCAACTCGCCAGTCCCGACCGAGTTGCTTATTTCGAGACAATACTGTAGTGTACATACATACAAATATTTACATAGTTCCTCCTGTAGGATCAGATTTATTCACAACGATTCAGTGTTGAATTAACGTAGACACTTATATGGATCATATATGGATCATACAAGTGTCTATGTTAATTTGACACTGCTTTTTTTAAAAGAAATAATAAATGAAAATTGAAACGTTACAATACAGTTTTTTTAAATGTTTTCTGACCCATTTAAACAAGAGTCTCAATATCACTAAGACATTAGTTTAAATTGACATTTTCGTCAACAAAGGATAGCCTCAACTATAATCATCCATAGATAAGGTACACATTGACATGTAAAAACGATCGTTATCATTGCCGAACACATTTATTATTTAACAAAAAAAATCTGAAAGTGAAATGCAATGTGCACCAGGTCTGAAGAGATTAATAATGAATAATTGTGAATAGATTTATATAGAAGGAAATATGTGAATTCTTGTATGTTTATGTACATACAGTATCGTAATAGAAAATTTACGATTCATGCAATAGAACTTTCGTACGATGAATGTACATATAATCAAGGTTCCACTGTAATTTCGTTTCGGCTACTCTGTCAATTATTCCTTTTCTTAAACAGGAAATACCTCCTTTGATCGGCATGTCGTAATAACATCGATTAGAAACATTCGGTTCCATAGTCTTTACTACCAGACGTAACAACTGTAAAATAAAGTGATTTACGGGCAAATATCGAGCATTAATGCGTATAAAAATGTGGGCCTTCCAGTTCAGAGCTACAGAAGAATCTTTGAATTCGAAGGCAAAGTACACGCAAGTTCTGCAACATGTCTGTGCGAGTACTTTTGATGGCTACAGTGCTCAGCCTCGTTTACGTTACAAGTATCGAGACTCGCGAAGTACAACCCTTGTCTCCACCCAGCGAGATCTACCCATCTCGTCCAAACGCGGACATGGACACGGAATCCACCAAAGCCGTAATTATCATCTATTTTTTTTTCATCCAATTTTCTCGCGGAAGAGAATTTTCAGAATTAAACGCAAGAATTTTGGAAATTTTATATTTTTACTTGTACTAAGAATTAAATACATTCAACGGACCGCAAAATTATTGACACGCGTAGAAACTAACAGGGACACGATGAAAAAGAAAAAATAATACAAGATGCATGATGTCACCGTTATTTATTCATTTCCATAGAAAAGAGAAAACTCTTTCATCGCTTCTTTGATCTTCCATTCTGTGTATACCAATAATTTCATGACTCTCTGTGTATTATATATTTTATCCGTACTCTTATTGAAAGATTATTCGAATGTGTCCATCCTTGATCGATATTCACCGTTTCCTTTTTGTCTCTAATAACGGTACCGTATTTCAAACAGGTGGAACAAAAGCTGACGCACGAGCACAACCCCCAAGAGGAACGGATCACGACAAGCAAAAACGCGAATTCATCTCCACCGCTAATAGAAACAATTTCGGTTAAGAGTAACGGATCCATGCAACCGGGAATGAAGCACCCGAAAAAAAGAGCAACGTATAACAAGGATGATCGCAAGGCAGATTTGCGACCAGGCTGTTGTAAGTAAAAAAAAAAAAAAAAAGAAACAAGAAAAAGCAGCGGATAAAGATATATAACGAACGACTCTCAAACGATGTATCCTGTCTTGTAAATATTTCAAGACGTATTTAAGCGCAAGTGGTAGATAATACTTAAGTGCATGCGGTAGATATCGTTTCATCTTTTCGGTTCCTTTTGCGATGGGATAGTAAACAGAATAAAATTATTGGTTACCATATTAAGATGATCGTACAGTTTCCTTATTTTTTTTCTCTGTCCATCCTGAACGAATGATACACGTCCCATACGTGTAAAACACACACACACCCACACACCCACACACGCACACACCCACACACCCACACACGCACGCACGCACGCACACACAAGGAAGGTAAGACTACCAAGCTCTTCGTATGGAAAACTTTTATTAACATCATGTACTTATACATAGAGACTTATAAGTACTGCGAACAAACGCAACTGTTTGATTAAACTGTCCAGGACCAATAGTACGTATCGTTAAATATAAACCAGTGCGATATATTACATATTTTACATCCTAACTAAATTTCCACTAACCTTCGTGGAAGGATAACACACGCGATTCGCATAAAAAGTTCTACCTTTTATTATGAGCAACATGTCGATACAATATACAGGATGTTCCGGCGATGGTGGTACAACGGAACACCGAGTGATTTTTCACGAACAAATAAGTCGAACGAAAATTTTGCCTTACGAACAATTTATCTTCAAGAAAATCGAGTTTGATAATTAACTTGATCGATGACTACATTATTATGCACTCCTTGTAGTATGTAATTAGTATTTTTTAATTTGTTGCCAGTCAAAACAAGGTATGTTATTGTGTCGATCCACGATCCACCATTCGTAATACAAAAATGAAAATTAGTCTTTATATATAAATATCGGGTTGTCCGGAAAGTCCATGCCGATTTTTGATAGCTAGCGCAGGTCTGAATATGTCGAAATGGCTGAAAACAAATAACATATACATCCCTTGTATATGTACATGCCTTAAAAGATGGAAAGGTTGTGGAACAAAATGGTACCTATGTAATTCAATAAATATACATATAAATAAATGTATATTACAATTCAGATGTGCCTTTGAAGTTTTCTTAGAAATTGGCACGAACTTTCTGGACAACCTAATATATATATATATATAAACTATATATAAATTTCACGAACTCGATTTTCTTGAAAATGAAAACCCGTATGAACAAATTTTATTCTTCGCTTATTATTCGTGGGGAATCACTGGCCTAATTGTATCGCCATTATCGAAGCACCCTGTATACCTACAAGGAATGGAGTTGTACCGCGATGCAAACTACATGTCGTTATTAAATATACGACACACTCGCATACGGCTAAAATAATTTCACAATGTACGCAGTACTTGGTTAATGGTAATATTGTGCCAAATGTAAAAGAATCTCGCGTAAATCTTCGTTATAAATCAGGTATCGAATGTCCGGTAAACGTTACTTCATCGTAACGAATATTTTTCATGTATTCAAGTATTGTTCGTTGGAAAAGTACAAATTTAATTAAAAAAAAAAAAAAAAAGGTTCACAAACTCGGTTCGTGTTGCGTTAAAAAAATTGGAACACTTGGTAGACGTCCGGGAAAATTACCCGACACATAGCCGGCATACGATCGGTATGGGCGTAGTCAAATTGTATACATTCCTAATATATTTACAAGTACCGTGTCAACGAGTTGCAACATCGATTCAATACTGTTATCTGTTCTGCTTCGAAAGAATAACTTTCCAAGCAGACATCGGTCTCGCTTGCAAGACCTCCAGTTTTCGTTGGCCCCACCTGAGCCAAGCGAACCCTATGATCAAGCATAAGATGCTCTCTATGTAATAACCGTCGAGCTGCATATTACAAACGCCGTTGTGCGTGTTCGTGCAGAGCTGCAAATAGAAATTTTTACGTGACATTAAACAATTACCAGTTATATAATTAAATACCGTATAGATCCCTGTACGAGCCACGACTCTTTACAATTTCCTAAGAAACCAAATAACCTGAACCATAAGGTAAAAAAAAAAAAACATATCCACCAACCTCTCTTTCCGAAATTGTGCTACAGTCATTCGAGGGATCGGTGCTGCACTGTCGAAACGTCAATGGATCGACAAACCAAAGCGCCGCCGTTGCTGGCCAGTTAGCCCCGAGATTACATAACGTATTCAACAACGTCATGTAAGTACCACCGACGGCGGGGTCGCTAACTTTTGCAAAAAACGCCATTGACGCCACAAACATACTACTTGTGAAAACCTGAGAGGAGAAAGAGTGTCCTAAGTTTCGTTTCTTCCTAACTCAGCTCCTCTAATTTATTACCATAATCATATTTATTTTACCTGATGTATTAAATAGAGAACTATTAGAGCTACAAAGTAGTATGCTGGAACTTGTCCACCACTCGCTACGTATGGTGTTACCCATACCAAAAATGCTGCTACCAGTCCAAAGGCTAGTCTGTACAATTAATTGTTTATGAAATACTTCTTTGGAAAAGAAACATTATATTTTATGTGTTTTCTATTCACCTATAAGGCATTGCCTTTATGTACACATCCATGGGTTTTGGACCAACTGTGTACTTTGAAATTGCTAATGGTAATAATATCTGTAAAGGTATCAGAGGCACAGCCATAAGAGCAAATTTTTCTTTCGGTATACCCGCTTCTACTAGTTTTAAACCAGTTACAGCATCGCACGCGGAAAACCCGATCTGTGATAAAACAAGATTATTTTCCGAGTCCGTAAGTATAATATCCATCGTATTTCATGTCTTCTGACCTTGGCAGTTAACAGGAATATAATAAGCGTCTTTATAGACGGCAATTTGACGATATTCCAAAGTAATTTGTACGCATGTTTGATATCTGTATTTAATTCTTCCCCTCTGTGTACTTTCTCAGAGTCCTCGTGTTTGAAAAATGTAACCAAAGTAGTTGCAATTAAAAACATCCAACCCCAAAAATAGAGGAACCCTGTAGGAGAAAATAACAAGCTGTAACTATTAATTCTTACCAGGGATCACAGTATAAGACTGCTTACCAGGTAATGTTACTATGCCCTCACTGGAAGGAGTGGATCTTAAATAACTATTGCAAAATTCAGCAGACTCCAATGCCATGAAAAGTACATAGCCAATAAAATAACCAGCAGTTTGTCCCACACTATTACAAGTTGATGCGTAACCCACGTTACATCTTGATACAATAAAGAAATATGTAACTGTAGTAATATAACTTTAGACCGTATAAACTAATTAACCAATCAAAGCTATACCTTTTTAACATTGTTAGGGCCCAACCATCGACTACTATATCTTGTGTAGCAGCAAGGACATTCAGGGCAAAGAATAAAATGGTCAACATTTCTATATTGGGCTTTGTACTTTCATCACCTAGCCATTGATTTATGTGGTTTGATAAAAGAAGCATAAAGAAACCCATTAAATACTGAGTAGGAATTAACCATGTTTTCCGTCTTCCAAATCTTTGGGAAAACACAGAGTCCACTATCGGCGCCCAGAACAATTTCAATGAGAAGGGCCATTGAACAAAACTAAATTCAGCCTAGTGAAACAATTATATTTATACAATAATATCTTCTGTTTGTTGTTTGGACAAGTGTAACTAAACCAACCAGATTTTTAAGTAACTAATGCAGAACAGTTCACAATTTTTTAAAGCAAATCTGGAAGCACTTTAATAAAATATAAATAAAACAAATTCTATGAATGCAGAACATTATCAAGGTTTCATCACAGGACAGCTTATACTATCAAAATCCAAGACTGTTCTGTATAATCTGTGATGTTTGACTGACTTAATTGTAAAACATATTTAGCGAATTACCTGCTGACGATACGAAACACCTCTGTTTTGCAGTAACATAGGAATGGAGCCGCATAAACCTAATGGTATGCCTTGCAACAGGTACAAAAATAAGAGAACAGCTATATTTCTCTCGTCTCCTCGTAAATCGGAATGCTCTTGTATATGGTTATACTCGTGGACTCCATCCTCGGCGCTGACATCCCTCGTCATTTTCCTTCTTGGACCCATGGAGAACGACGAAAGTAATCAATCACAATCTCATACACGTTAAGAACCGATTCTCGATGGAAAAGATGTTCCTCTAACGCGCACGTCAACTGCCGAACTTTGTCACGCTTACTTTTAACAACAATATTATACGTATCATGAGTTAGAGCGTAGGTATCGATACACCGCTCCAAAATTTTCCGAACTTGAATCCCTGGATCAAATGACACGCAGTCATTTCCTAACGGAAGAACCACTTGCACGAAAACAAAATGAATTATTTATGTTATGACAGAAGTAACAACATTGACGTGGTCATTACCGACGGTTAACCTTAATTCTGCTTGTAAAACGGTACTGTACGCGAAGCCAGTGAATGATATCTCGGCAAGATGTAAATTTTTGTTATATTTGTTGTACAAGCTATAGTTGTAGGACAGGATTCATGACTGTCTTGGCTCCGTCGTCTCAAGAACTAAACAGATAAACTTGCAACGGTTTAGATTTGCCACGTTGTTCTGCATTAAGGACACGTCAGTTGTATTCGGTTGTCCTATAGTTTGTCTTCTTTACGCTTAAAGTCACGTGTAAGCTATCACTGCTAAACTAACGATTCGACCATGGAGACGCAGAAATAGCGCGCCTATCGGTGACACGCGTAGTTTATAAGACCGACTCGACACTATGTTCGATTTCTTTATAAACGCTCCTTGCGGCACGGATGTGATTCCCCTAGAATCAAAAAGTTATATAATCGATCAACGTAATTATTAAAAATTTACGAAGCATTTCATTTTAAATTACACAAATTTATTTCTATCGAAGCGATGTTTAAAGTATCCTTGATTTCTTCTGCATAAGTAGAAAGGCCGGCGTTACGGGGGCGCGGTCGGGCAACTGCCCGGGGCGCCAGATTTTTGGGGCCGTCGCAGTCCGGTGTCCCAAAAATGTTGTAACACGTTGAAAGGGGTGGTTCGGGAGGTGATTTGAAACAACTTTTTCCTTAGCGAAAATATTGTCCGAGACTTCGTTGAGGAGATATTAACAGAAAACTCCAACCAATCAGAGCGCGCGTATACCGTTGGAGCGGCCGCGATAGCGTAGGCTACGCGCTAGGTGGCCGCTCTCGTACGCTACCGCGGCCGCTCCACCGGCATACTCGCGCTGTGATTGGTCAGTGTTTTCCGTCAATATCTCCTCAACGAAGCCTCGGACAACATTTTCGCTAAGAAAAAAGTTGTTTCAAATCACCTCCCGAACCACCTTTTTCAAGGTGTTACAACATTTTTGGGACACCCTTTATATACCCCTGACGCGATAATCTTGCCTGGGGCGCCAATATTGCTAAAACGGCCCTGCGTGTACGTTTAAACAAATAATAGTTTGCCGTCTTAATCACATGTATACCAAGCATAATACAACAAACACATTTAAATAATATAATGTATTCCTCAACATCATACGTAATCTATTTATTATTATTTCGTCAGAATTTAATTCTTATCCCAATCGAGCATGAATGTTCTTGAGAGAAATCCGCTTTTAGAATAGATACATAGTTGATGCGAAGGTTGCAAAGAAAAAGAGGGCTAAGCGAGGAAAAGAGACGGAAAATGTAGTCGACTAACTCCGTTTATGCGATCCTGTAATCTTTCAACTGTTGATGAATGTAGAACTGTTGTATGCTTGAATAGCGGCGTGGATCTACGACATAGAAAGGTATCGTTAAAACTTGAACAACAATCAACTATCTAGCTTTGCTTTTCTTGCTCTTGCTACATTCGAAACTTTATTCGTGCGAAGAGGGAACAACAGTTGAGGTTATGAACAAAGAACGAAAGATCGAGAAAGTGAGAAAGGGAGATCGCGAGATTGCTATACTCCGGTTATACGTTCCTGTTCGATTTGCTCCGAGGTTAATGGGAATACAGAACGATGGTAGAGGTTATTTCACTTTGAGCGAGAGAGGTATATCATGAAACCTGCCCTCTTGACTCATCGCACTCCACTGGCGCCGCTGTGGCGACATACATAGTACGCGTCATAGTTCCGCGAGCGCTGCTACGGTAATATCGCGTGTATAATTCTCGTTGTAAATTGTAATATATCGTTCTTTCACGGGTATCAAATGGAGGAAAGAGAGGTTTATAGTGCAGAGTTGATAAATAGTGACACTGACGATGAATTCCAGTTTGAACTGTACAGAGACAATTTGGTTGACACTATCATAGAGGGCAGTGGAAGTAATTACGAGCTTGGGAGCAGCAGCGAAGAGAGCTACACACCGGTATTGAAAAAACAGAGGAGACGAGTTGTCGAGAGCGATGACAACGACAACGGAAGTACATCTGGAGAAGAAGACGAAGACGATGCATGGTACGATGTCACGGAGAACGAAAATATTTCGCACAGAATCAACTTCACGGTGGCTCCAAAAACCGTAGGGCCACAAGTATCCTCGAACGTCGTGGAACCCACGCATTTCTTCAAATTGTTTTTCACCGAACAGCTGGTGGATGAAATCATAAACGAGACGAATAATTACGCGAAGACTATGCTGCAGTCGAAAAAAATAACGGCAAATTCTATTTGGAAGACGTGGCGCGACGTGGAACGAAACGAATTCTGGGCCTTCATCGCGGTCGTTTTAAATATGGGTACGATGCCAGTGGCAAACATACAGGAGTACTGGTCCACGAAAGACAACAGTAGAATTCCTTTCTTCTCGAGCATATTTAAACGCTACAGGTTCAATCAAATATTTTGGATGCTGCATTTGAAAACCCCCGCCGCCGCCGCGAAATCGCGTTTACAACGGGCGAGCAATTTTTTGGAGTACATAGATTCGAAATTTTCGGAGCACTTTATACCCGGTGTAAATATCTGCGTGTACGAGTCCATACTGAAATTCAAAGGAAGAGTTAGTTTCATCACATCCAATCCTAACAGACCCACGAAGCGGGGCATACGAATTTACGTATTAGCAGACTCCCAAACGGGATACGTGTACGGTATACTTCCATACTACGGGAGTATTACTTTGGAAAATCTTATCAGACCGGATTTATCAATTAACTGCAGAGTACCGTTACATCTGTATCAGAAATTGCTGAATCAAATTCCCACCGCGGAAGGTTATCATATGTACACCGATAAAGATTATACGAGTATATCCTTGGCCGAGGAATTAATGAAACTGAAGTGCCACTTGACCGGTACTATACAAACCAACAGGAAAGGCGTTCCGATTTCTATAAAGAAGCCGAAATTCTCGAACAAAAACACCGTCGCGTATAGGAAAGAGAATACGATGCTCTTAGCGTGGAAAGACAAAGGTATCGTAAACGTATTGAGTACAGGGAGTCACGCAGGAATGACATCGACAAGAAAAACTGTGCGGGACGGTGCAGATGTAATAATCAAGAAGCCCGACGTAGTTCTCAATTACACCGCCTCCGTGGCTGGCGTTGATTACGTTAACCAATATGCGTCGACTTACTGCTTTCTGAGAAAGTCCCTCAAGTGGTGGAGGAAGCTGTTCTTCTGGGGTATGGAGATATGCGCCATAAACGCGTACATTCTATACAAAACCGTGAAAAAAGCGAACAATCAAAAACCGATGACGCATCTGAAGTTCGTGAAACTGTTGGTCGATCAACTGCGTGGCAATTTTCGCCAGGAGCGTGGGAGGGACTTCAGCGCCCCTGCCGAAAACAGATTGAACGGGAAACTCCACGTGATGCGAAAAGGGACTAAAAGGGACTGCGTGGTATGTTCGAAGAGACAACAAAAGTCCGGACGACGCGAAACGATTGATTACTGCGACACTTGCCGAAACAAACCCAGGATGCACATGGGAGATTGTTTTTATAGATATCATACCATGCAAGATTACAAGGTGTAAGATTTGTGATAATTGGACTGCTGGTGTTTACGCATTCATGGCGAACGAAAGTATGAGGAAATCTATGGAAATCCGCACGAGTCCAAAAATATGTAATATTAATGTCGATAGTATTGCTTAGAAGATAAGAAGATTAGATTCAATTTCTGTATTTATATAAATATGAATTTGTATAAATATCCACAGCCTAACGATAACTAAGTAAACTATTGGGCTGTCTGGAAAGTTCATGCCGATTTTTAAGTAGCCGGTACAGGTCTGTATATATCAGAATGGATGAAAATAAATTAACAGGTGAAAAGGTTGTGGAACAAAATGGTACACGTATAATTCAATAAATATACATGAAAATTCAAATATGCCTTTGAATTTTTCTTGAAAATAGGCATGAACTTTCCGGACAACCCAATCTATTGACGAAATAAATAAATACAATGTAAATTATAAGCGTTTATAAATACTCGTTGTAGAGAGTTACTTTTAATTTGCGATGCTCGATACGTTGTTGCAATTTTCGTATAATAAATTTTCTTAATCGAAGCAATATTTTACTGCAATAGTAAGTATCGCGCAATCCTATTCCGTTGTAGCCTCACATTTCTATTTGTTTACTATTTTTGTTCCTGGACACGTCTTGACCTAACATCGGTTTTATTGTACAAGTTCATCTTATATTTACAGTTAGCTTGGATATAGATACACGAGCTTGTTATAATTCAGCAACTAATCATTGTTGTATCGACGAGACTGCGAATGGAAAGTCTATTTAATTTCAAAGTTTAAGAGCGAATTGTTTTTTGGGATCTACATTTTTTACAAATGTACACGGAAACACGTTACAGTTTCCTCCATTCATCGCAACGGTGGTTGCCGCTTTCATCATCATTTTAATGCGTACACTCTTATATTCCTTATCGAGTTCATCATTGGAAATCCTGTAACGATATTACACCTTTTAATGTATCTAAAACATTTCCTGTAAATTACTCCAACCACGGATACGTACAAATCGGTAAAACGTCGTTCCGATTCTATTCTCCCTTTGACGCCTTTGTTCGATTGGGACCAAGAATTTTTCTGAATTTCGCACGCTATTCTGGCAATGCATGTCGGAGAAACTAATAGTTTCTTTTCATTTCCATTACCGTCAACCTGTTCGACGACACAAGAATCAAAGCACATGGTTCAGTCGTGAAATCATTGCACAGTAAAACGTTCATAACTGCAAGGAGAATACTTATCGAGTATAATGAAACTACCTTGGTGAAGTTGTCTTTTAAGTCCCTTAAAATGTAATTCACGTGAGCGTCTTCGTCATTGACTGACAAATACGATCGTTTCTTTCTTCCTGATACAATGCCAATTGGTAGGAGAATGGGGTTCGTAGCTAAAGCAGCAGCTGCCCCGATTAAAGCAACACCAGCTAATGCTTTTAAAGCCACGGCCTGATAGAGACGATTGTTTCAAATACTGTTCACGTCGGATTAACCCATTTGCATCAGAGAACGGAATACGGTGGTACCCGGTTGTAAGAAACCGGATTCTGGTTCTCTCGATTTCATGTAGCCGGGTAGTAGTGTTTGTTTTCCACGAACTAATATTTTTTTTCAATTATTTCTTTGTAATAGTTATTGCCAATGGATCGCTGAAGAGTTTTCGATGAAAACGAATCGAAATTTTTGTAAAAAAAGATAACCTTCAAACGTCCTTGGAGCTCCATAAAATCCCCCATAAAATCAAACATCCGCTCGAAACGCTCTTTTCTATCATTAAAAATAAACGAGTTATTCAGACGACCTGTCTTAAATGACCCCGAAGCTTGCTTATATCGGCACTGTCGCGACGAGGCAAGGGCAGAGGTACACATGCCCTCGGGCGCCATATTACAAGGGCGTCCACGGCGCCCTTCAAACTAAAGAGATTAGCAACCGATTTTGGAATAAAATATGACAACGACGTAATAAAGAAGAGCTCGAGATATCGAATATTTGTGATAAGAAATAACGAAAATATCGACTAACGCAGGGAAAGATTAGTCTCATACTTGGGATTTGTAGATAAAGCAGCGAAATAGAAGATACCCGAGAGTATTCGCAGAGGCTAAATAATATTTTATCACAAAAGATAAGAATTTATTTAGTTTCATGTATAAGGGTAGAAATTGTTTCACTTAACCGGGTATCACTGTATTTGGCGCGGAACGAGTGGCTCATGCAAATGAGTTAAAGAAAAAGACAACGATAAGGGATACATTATGGGTATCCGTTACTTTGGTGGTAGAAGAGCTATATTTTTGATTATATCTCAGGGAATACACGCAAAAAGACGTTCCCCGGCGTTATTCTCCTATCACCAAAATATACTTACGGATAAGCTATTTCTAAGAGAAAAGAAACAAGAAAAATTGCATACAGGGAGTAAATATTCTCCGGAAAGGGTAAACTACTACCTTCTGCGTTTGAAAATTCGGATGCGGGGGACCGTTTCCTTCCGGATAATTCGGCTCGTGGGGACCGAATTCGTCGCCGTTAGCGAAACTTCCTGAAACTCCATAGCCACTACTCGCAGCTGACCCCCCGTGGCCAGTTGGTCGAACAGAGCCATAACCCCCGTAACCACCATTCCCGTAACCATATCCCGCAGAAGTTGGGGACTCGTAGCCGGCGGGTCTGCGTGAACTTTCACTTCCATAACTCGGACGGGAACCAAATCTGACGTTTACACGAAATCTCGTTAACTGTCCAAGACGCGACGGCGAAATTGAAAAGTACGATCGCTACGGTAACTCGGCGAGCCAATTGGTTACCTATCTCCTGCTTGACTTCCATCGTGGTGCGCAGTTCCGACGTAGTTTCCGCCTCCGGGTCTTCCGGCGATTCCGTTCGAACCGGGCGGTTGGCCTTGACCTTGCCACCCGTACCTGTAAATTATCCTTCCGATTGGAAACTCGCACTTCCCGTACTAATCTATCGAAACTTTGCTAACGAGGCTATCTTTACAAGTTTGTAGAACACTCGAGTCGAGTTCTACTGTATATCCTGTACAGTAAAGTCTGGATAAATGCAAGACAACTATCCCAACCACTGGGTGGTTCTCCCTTGATGCTCGGTGACTACCAATGTAATATGATTCTGACCGATTGATACGCTTCTGCCGATTGCTTTTTTCCTCGGACCTTTTTCTCTTTCACCCTCTGACTAAATGTAAACACAGAAACCTCGACTGGATAGACACAACGTTCAGGTCTCGATTTTCTCGCATTTCTCCAGGCTTTACTGTAAAGGGTTTAGGTATTCGTTCCTTGGACTAGCAATTTATAGTCTTATACTACCTATCGGCGGGTAAACGTTCACCGTATTGAAATGGATACCGACCCCCGTCCGCGGGGACCTTACTGTTGTAGTATGAATCCGGTCGCGTCGACGCACCGGAACCGTACTTGGAACCGCAGCAGCTGGAACTTGCACGTTTCAATGTTAACGTGACGCGAACGTATCGAAAATGTAACAATCTCATCAGATGTTCCACTTATCTCTGGTGTCCGATTCCGATCGATGAATCGCTGTTCTCGGTTGCTTATCCGTGCCTCTGTCGTACAAGTCGCTGTCGTTGCTCTTCACGTGCAGCGACTTCGTCGAATTTCGACCGCGTACGATGCTCGCCAAAAGTTTGTCTCCGCCAGGTTCCTTCTTGTCGAGTTCGGGACTCGTAACAAATTCGGACTTCGTCGTGACCGCGTAGGAAACCGCGACGGTTGTCAAGAAAATGCAAATGAACCGTTGCGACATCGCGAGAGGAAATTAGGCGACTGTTTGGGAAATTACGCGGGAAGTCGCAAAACTCTTCGGGCGCGTTTTGACGCGAGGACGACACGAAAGTGGTTCTTTCCGTTGTCGAGTTTCACCTTTTTATATAGTTGTCACGCATGGGATGCTGTCGCGTATTCGCTGGTCTCGTACCAGCTTTCTTTTTATGCCGCTTCAGAGATTACTTTACAAAACGTGCGCCTGTTCGCGTTTGTTCTCAAACTTTGTGAATTTTTTAGGCAATTTGTGGTTGAACAATCGCGCTGTTTCATTGCGAAAGCATTACGGTCGGGGACACCGAACAGCGTCGTTCGTCGAGATGATCTTTCAATTGTTTCGTTGCGTCCCTGCGAATCGGCAAGTGTGACAAAACGATGCGCGCAGGAGCGTCCTCGGTGAAAATAAAGTGGCACGGATGAGCCAACGACGCTTCTATCGTCACGCAAACAGTTTAACTAACGACGCTTGGTCGTCGTGAGTTTTTACGGAATTTCACAATTTTTTTGGAGCGACATTGTTACGAAAGAGATAGGCACAGTCATCTGCGAATAAATAATAATAACATTAATTCATTTGATGGCTGGTTCACTGGGAATCATTTGACGCCATGTTTACGACGATATACTAAGTTTTGCGATACTTACTACATATACATAGATAATTAACAAAAGATTCATTCACAACAGATTTGGTTGTCTATTATTCTCCACTTTCGTTCTGTCTACTAAATAAAAGACACTGAATTCCAATAATAATGCACAAACAAAGTCGAAAGTAAATTTCCAAGCGAAGCAAGAATCGTTAATTTATTTACTTGAAAATTAAAATTAGCGACCAAATTGCACGTAGGTTCCTGCCAATGCATAACGTAATTAATCTTTTACTACGTTTTCCCGGAAGTTCAAGCGGCGTGTCGCGGACGTACCCTTTCCTCCATCTTTCCTACTTTCCAGTCGCGCAACTAAAACGTTTCGAATACGTTAGTCTAAACTATCAACTTTATCGGTTGTCCCAACGTATTTTTTTTTTTACCATGGCGATGCTTTACTCGTCTGCTCATAGGTTCTTAGAGCGTACAAATCGAAAATTGAAAGTCTGTATCTAGGTCTGAGTGCGAATAAATTCAAATAAATACCGAACTAAGATTTTTCCTTTTCAGGAAAGTTATTAGAAATATAAAAAGTTATGATAGCAAGCGCTCTATAGCAAGTGCTTCGGCACTTGAATTTACGATTTTTCAAGAAGTGGAGTTAATCGATTTTGCACACATATCTTTGAAAATAGAGAGTGGCGGGAGGGGGAGGGAGAAATCAATCGATCGCCCTATTCCACCAATTTTCACCGAAATCAGCGAATACGTTGTCGATGATCCATTAATTTTAAGAAGAAGCTTGAAGAACTTGAATCGCCAGTTGCTCAGGTGCCGGTAAATAAAGATTTCATCCTCCTACCGTACACGAACGTTAAAAAATTCGGTGGGATCGTTTGTTCCGCCTGGATATTTACGATGTCACCGACAACCGAAATTAGCGATCGTTAAGTTGGGTCACGGTTGCATCATACCAGCGAATTTTTTCCATTGTGCGTGAGCGAGATCGAAGGAAAAGGAAGCGCTCGATTATGGCGGACGAAGGGGTTACAGTGGGTGAACGTAATCGCGCCAGAATCTGGATGCCTCCAGCACCGTATAATTCCAACTATGGCAATCCTGGCCTCTCGGCTGGGATTCCTGTCCGAATCGAGCGACTCGTACCAAAGACGCGACGGGTTTATCATCCGTTGGGTATGGAAACATCAATGGAAGCCCGGAGCTAGGAAGCCTGGGAGGGAGAGAGATCCCTGGTGTATGCAAAGAGGCTGAAGAGCGCGCAAAGACATTACGGGGCTAATTTAGAGAAAAAGGGGGAAGGTCGTCGATGGAACGAGGCGACTCGTTGCGACGGACGAGGAGAAAGAGAGAAGAAAGAGCCGAGAAAAAAAGAGGAGGAGTCCAGGGTCGGTGGGGCGGCAGGAGAAGACACGACGAGGACCAAGAGATCGCGGAATGGAGCAAGAGTGGAGTAATCAATACGCATTCACACGCGGTGGCTCGCATCCCGTTGCCATGGGCACCGACGCCGGCGCATGTGCAACCTCAGCCGTGTTACTCCGTCAGAGAAATTTACTCAGAAGCAGCTCCGTACCAGTCCGGTGCGGAGCATTCCATGCACGGTATCCCCGAAACGGTATGCGTCTAGATCGCTTACCGCTTTAACTATCGACCTATTTAAAAAGAGTCTGCATCTTGGAAAAGGACATTCCTCGCGTTCCTTCGCGTTAGCATACGTTATTCTAGCCTAACATTGATTTCGTAACATTAATGCGCAACGTTAACTAGCTGCAACCAATGATGAGCAAAATCCTAGGCTTCGAATAAATCTGAAGTCTCGTTTCCACTTTTGAATATTTTCCAAAAAAGGAACCGAGACAAACACATCGGCAAACTTCCGATTTATTCCAAGCTTGGGGTTCTGCCCATCTCTGGCTACAACGTAAGATTTGTCTCTAAGAATTGAGTATTACAAGTAGACGACCCATGACACGGCTAATATTTAAAAAGCCTACGAGTACTCTCGCGGCGCTGTATCACATTCGACCATCCCTAATGTAAGATCACACTCGAACTTGTCATTCTCCACGCGTAAACCAGTTTTCCATCGCAGCTCTTCGTCGCCACCGGTCTGGATCGAGTCTAGATACGCACTCATCGGTGGGAAATTTTGTGGGAGGCATACGGGTGGAACGGATCGGTTCCTCGTAGGCGAATCTGACCGTAGAGAATCGTTCCCTCGACGACGGTCATTCTGCTCTCTATCGTTATCACTCTAGGATACCGTGCGCCGCTCGACTCTCGGATGTTCACCCCCTGGCCGACTCAGAGGGGATGACGGCGTTCGGGTATGCGGGCGACAGGGGGTGGTTTCCCTCTGGGCGCCTGCGTCGAGTCCCCGATGACGACTCGACTAGGTAGGTGCTCGACCCGGACGCAGTACGGAAGAAACGTCGAGCACGCAAACCGCCCGTCCTCGTGACACGCGCCCTTGCCGTCTCCTCTCTCGTCGACCTATGACAACACGAGAACGTGCGAAAAGTTTCGCGGTGAAACCGATCGTTTCGACGATCGACGAGTGACCGGGCCCATTAGGTGAAACAGCCGTGATCCGGACTGTCCGTCGCCCAAGGTGTCCCGCGAAATTGGGAGAACGTTTATCGAGCCGACGTTACCGATGACTCGATGCCGCGGCAAGATGAAAAATGTGTGCAAATCCTGAACGTCGCCGGACGCCTCTCAGTGACGAATCGTCTTATCAATGTTTGCGATCCGATAAGCGTGATACCGCGCGATATACGTAACCAGCGTGCCCGCGGCGAAGCACGTTGAGGAATGAACCTCTGTTTCGTCCACGGTGTGACCTATGCGCGGTTGCTCGAGTCTTGCACTCTCGCGTAGCCCTCCTGTCGAGCACAACAGGTAGACGGTGAGATCGAGTGACGACCGAGGATCGTTTTCGAGTGGACCACGGAATCCAACGTCGTGCAACGTACGACGGGATTTAAAGCTCGATAAGGTCGTCTAACCGGAGAATGCGTCCCCGACGCGCAAAAGGTTAATCGTCGAGGAGCATCGAGCTACGTTCTTACCATCGTGAAGGCGGGCTTAGTCGCATTTAATCGTCGCTTGCATGTGGGTCACAAGCTGCATTCGCCAAAGCTAACGGGATAGAGGGTTTACCGAGTAGAGAGGTAAGCTTGTTAAATTGCGTTACCCTCGGGCGGCTCGCGTTGCCGCCACCCCTACGATTAATTCCCCTCCATCTTTCAATGTTTTTCGGCGGGTTTCTTCGAGATTCAGTGTTGGCCGAAGCAGCCGAAAACTTGATGGTTCCATCTCAACGGTTAATCTATCCGCGCTTCGTGCGATTCTCGCGAACGTCGCGTCTTCGTTGCACGTCTACGCGTCCTTAAAGCTCAACGCGACGGGCACGTTCGAATGCGTCCAACCTGAATGGGCGACGATGGGTGAAACCTTGGATATTTATAAATTGTCAGATCGGCTAGGTGAAAGTCACGTGGTGGTTGCAGTTTACGGTGTCCTTAACCTCCTGGAAAATCAATGTTCTTCGCGTAACGAGTATCGGGTGCCATATTCTCTGTCCTTTATCGTCCGAGGAGCTCCAAGACATGACAAGAGCGGGGAGAAATGTCGGAGTATCGAGTATGGTTGAGATATGATACATTTCTGGCGCAGGATTAGCATCCAGGTCAATCTTTTCTTCCCTGTTTCCAATTTCCTTCGTTAATGAGTTCAAGTGTGAGAGAAAAATTTGCTACGAAACATGGCATGGTGACTTCTACGTATGAGGCAGCGACGTTGATTAATTCTCTTTGGAATCGTTCTGTAGGTGTCTTCCTTC